GGAGATAATAACATGCACAAAAACAAGACAGAGCAAAACCAAGCAACAGAAGAAAACAAAACAACAACAAAAAGCCAATGACAAAAACAACAAAAAACCCCCAAACACAACAACATCAAAAAAAGAAAAGCTTGTAGTTAGTTCAAGGATTGTTTGTTGTCGTTTAGGAGTGTGTTCCGCCCTGACCCCACAATCTATTTTTGGTATTCCCTGGGGACTTCGTTGCTCTGTTGCCCTTGCTGTTCATTTTAATTAATTTCATTTTCAGAATGATTTTAAAACTGGAGTGCATGTTTTGGTTTTTTTATCTTTAAAGGTGCTAAGTCCCCGGACTGACATTGGAATATACGGAAACGGTAAAAACAGAAGGAAAAAGGTCAAAGAACTGATAGAAAAAGGAAAGGATCTGGACCTCGAGCCCCTGAGTGATCTGGAGGAAGGACTGGAGGAAACCAGAGACACGGCCATGGTGGTAAGGAATGATGCCGGAAAGCACCCTTGCTGTGCTTGGAAGAAAGACAGTCTGTCTGACAGATTCCCATCTTGTCTAGTTGATAATTAATCATTCTTGTAGCCTTGAAGGAGCATCTCCCTGTAGCCAACCATCTAATCCCTCTTCCAGATTCTCTTCCTTGCCCATAAGCTCTGGTACCTTCTTTCTGTAGATTTCTCCCCTCACTTTCAAACATCTTCAAACACTCTCCACAGATGTATTCTAGCATGGTGGGGACTTTTTTTTTTTTTTTAAGAAACCAAATAAAAGAACAATAATAGCAAAAATCACCTTACCTACTTCCCCTCCCAATTCTTTGCCTTGATCAGTGGGTGGTTCTGAGGGCTCTGTTTGCCTATTCTTTTAGCTTTTTCTTGTAAATTAGCTGAAGGTTTACAGCCTTGTCATCTGTGTTACATTCAACAATTCATACACATTTTGTTCCAACCCATTCTTTGCCATTCCTTAATGTACCATCGTTTATCCCATTTCCTCCTTGTGTTTCCTATTTCTATCCCTCCTGTCCTAACCCTCTGTACTTTGTCTCTGGGTACCTGTTACCCCTTTAGCCCATAATAAATGGCTGATTATTCTAACAGAGGAGTAAATTCAATTCCAGACCTGCAGTGTGATTAAGAACTATAGTCTTGGGCAGGGGTCCTCAAACTTTTTAAAAAGGGGGCCAGTTCACTGTCCCTCCGACCCGTTGGAGGGCCAGACTATAGTTAAAAAAAAAAAAACTATGAACAAATCCCTGTGCACACTGCACATATCTTATTTTGAAGTAAAAACGCAAATGGGGCAGAAACACCCGGCGGACCAGATAAATGTCCCCGGCGGGCCGCAGTTTGAGGATGCCTGGTCTTGGAGATCCCACCAGTTGCATATTTTTATCCCTCTTGACCTTCTGTTCCTGTCACTCCTTGTCAGCTCATCCACTTGCATGGCCTCAGCTCTCAAATGTATAGCTCAAGCCTTGACTTAACTACTGTTGTATAGCTAATCGCACTGAGGACATCTGCACGCTGTGCTCAAACACGTGTCCGAAGCCGAAACATGTCCCCTGCTAGTTCTCTTCCCTTTAAACTAACCGTCCCTGCTCTCTGACCCCTCCCCCAACCATTTCCTTTCTGACAGTTACATTTGTTTTACACAAGTCAGCTTACCTCCTCTGTTATATCAAGTTTATACAAATGCTTGGGAGCACTTAAAGAAAATAGTAATTTCAAGGAGCCAACATGGGTTTTATTTGGGACATTACATAGGAAGATTACAGTAGACCTAGTATTTGGATTTGAACAAGCCACATCATGTTCTAGTGACTGATGATTTAATATCAGCTGGATGATATAATAGATGAAATCACAATTATTTGAAAACCCAAACTAAGGTGTGCTAAATAATGGGTCACATCAATCTACAAAGAAGCTTAGGGTAGTTCTTTGTTCCTTAACAGTGTGAGAAAACCTATTGGGGAGAGCAGTATCTAAATAAATACCTTTGTACAACTATTTTTATTTTTGCATACTTTCTTTGTCTTTATGGTCATACTTCCTGTAAAAATACGTTTTTAGTCAAATGATATAAAAACTTTTGCTACTCCCCAAACTCGTGTGTTTTGCATATTGCTGTTCTTTTTGTTTTAGTATTTGTCTAATATTCCATCAAACTGTTCATAATTTCTAAACAGGTTCCTACTTTTGAATCAAGTGCTCCCTGCTGTTAACCATGAAATGAACTTCTTTGTGTTGCTTCCTTCTTCGGCATTATTTTCCTGGGCTTGACTTCATGACACTTACTACTGTTTGACTTTTCAAAGGAAATGTCCCTGTAGTAGTACCAGCTGCTTTGTAAGCTCAGGTCTTCTCAGCAGTTCTCAGCAGCAGCAGTAGAGTGAGTACACAAAACACATGAAGCTGAGGAGAATTATCCAAAAGAAGAGTTGTTTTTTTTTTTTAGAGTGGCAAGGCAAGGAGAGATGTGTTAGAATTGATTGGAGCCTGAGAAAGTAGAAAGAAATTAAAATTAGTTTAGGCAACAGGTAATATTAGGGAATTACAGACACTACGTAACTTGATGTGGCTCCATCTGCCTACAAACGATCTATTTTGAAGCCAATGAAAAGGCCAGGCAGGTAGGACCAAGAAGTATTTTGAAAGCATCTCAAAGTTAATCAGTAGTTTAGAGATAAAATTCGTGAAGAATATTTTTGATAATTTTGTTTGCTTTTATTTATTTCGTTGAAATGAGTCCAGATGATGTTATAATTGGTCATCAGGTTTTGTTATTTTACCTACACAATAATTGGAGAGGCCTTCTAGAAAGAAATAACAATTGATTTGTTTATAACTGGTCCCTAGGGAATGAATTACAAGGGGGCAAAACTAATATTTTTATTGAGTGTACATTATGCATGGCAACACACTGAGCATTTTCATGTGCATTGTACCCCAGGTTGGCAACTTACAGGTACAAAAGCCAGGCTTCCGTACCAGAATGACTTGACTTCAAAGCAGATTGTTGTTCTGTTATAGTCTCAGAAGAGTTCAGAAGTGTACTATTTTGATGTAAATGATCGAATGTGGTAGCACTTTGCCCTCTTTGAAGATGAGAAATGTTTATGTAGAAATTGTTAGTATGTCCCAAATTTTAGGAAGTTGTTGAATGAACTGTGTTTTTGGAATGAACAGTTCTTTATAACCATGATGCCACAATTCAGGGATGGCCCGTTAGCCTTAAGGATTTGGTACTTGGGAAGTATAGTGAAATGACTCATTTCAATGAAATACTTGTACACAGGTGGCCGTTTTCAAAGAACGGGAGCAAAAAGAAATTGAAGCCATGCATTCCCTCAGAGCAGCCAACCTAGCCAAGATGACCATGGTGGACCGTATAGAAGAAGTGAAATTTTGCATTTGCCGCAAGACAGCCAGTGGGTTCATGCTGCAGTGTGAGCTCTGCAAAGACTGGTTCCATAACAGCTGTGTCCCCCTTCCTAAATCAAGTTCCCAGAAAAGAGGGTCTCACTGGCAAGCTAAAGACGTCAAGTTCCTTTGCCCTCTCTGTATGCGATCTCGAAGGCCCAGGCTAGAGACCATTCTGTCACTCCTGGTGTCTCTTCAGAAGTTACCTGTACGGCTGCCTGAAGGAGAAGCGCTGCAGTGCTTGACGGAACGGGCCATGAGCTGGCAGGATAGAGCCCGCCAGGCCCTGGCTACAGACGAACTGTCCTCTGCCTTGGCCAGACTGTCTGTGTTGAGCCAGCGGATGGTGGAGCAGGCAGCTCGAGAGAAAACGGAAAAGATCATCAGTGCAGAACTCCAAAAAGCAGCTGCCAATCCTGACTTACAGGCAAGTTCAAGGGCTACATCTCCCCTCTCCCCGTACTTCATGGGATTTGTCAAGTGTCAATGGTAAATTAAATCTGTCTTACCTATTGTCGATTAGAGCGGCAACAGTAACTTGCTAGCAAAGATGTTATCCATAACATCCTTTTTTCTACATACATTCTCTGGAGCTCCACTTAATGAAATATTCTTCAGAAATACCATTCAAGTGGGCCTGGGCATCATAATCAAATAATGTGATTTCTACTAATTGTTGAAGCACTGTTAGTCCCTTTGCAAGTTTGTTGCTAAATTGTAATGGCGGTAACTATTCATTCCTCATGTTTGTTTCGTATGTCTCTGTTTATCTTGGAATTGTCTGCTTTGTAGGGACACTTACCTAGTTTCCAACAGTCTGCTTTTCACCGGGCGGTGAGCAGCAGTGTGTCCTCCTCCCCTCGACACACTGCGGACTACGACGATGAAGAAACCGACTCTGATGAAGACATTCGGGAGACCTATGGCTATGACACGAAGGTAACTACCTTGCTGCAGCGATAAGAAGTGACTCGCTATCACTGTGATGGCTTTGATGCTGACGCCACAGAGATGGGGACGAGCGGGCTCTGACAAGTTTGTTTTGTTTGGCTCCTGTTGGCCCTTTCCAATGACTTTGTCTCTCTACCTTGTAGTAACGTCATGGCTAGCCAGAGACCCTGCCAGGTCACAGTTACAGATTCAAATACAGTGAAATCCTTGACACCTGCAATCCTTTCTCCGTTTATCGTTCAGTTCTTGGGATTTTAGTTTCCTTTACTTTGGGTTGCAATCCATATTTCAGACTGCATTCCTTGATCATTCGTTGATCTGTTTTCTGTTGTTCTTAGTTGTTCGGTTTAGTATTGGTACTGTAGCCCGGGAGTTCTTGGTGTGACGAAAGAGACTACATCCAAAGAACTATGCAGAGTTTTTCCCGTATTCTACTTAACTGTTTGTTACTTGTCTTTTCAGCATGCAAATTAAGTAGGTTCTGCTCATTCTTAAGAATGTGAATCCCATCAACATTAAAACACACACGTTGTAAAATTAGAACCATCTGTCATCCACACTTAGAAATTCATTTTTGAAAAATAATTTTTACATAATATGGATTCTTAATTCCAGGCCACATTTTTTTAAAGTGGTTTTCTGTTGTATGCTTTAAAGGCTTTGGAAATGTTAGCCCTTGATCTAGCCAACTGAATTTTAATCGAAATACTAAGAATTGCCTGTTTACCATGACTTAGAGGAATCCACTGCTTACATTGGTTCCTTTCCAACACATCACCACTGCTCTGGTATTCCTAAACATGATAAATTTTGCTTGGAAGCATGTATGTAACACGAAAAGAATATCACAGATACTACTTGATCTTCACTCAGCACTATAGATTAACCCTGTGATTTTATGTTGGTACACAGTAGTCCTTTTATGTAGAATTTACATGGGAGTTCTAGTATACATCTTCTACATTAGGAGATACTGGCAGATGGTAAAATTTGGGCTGTTACAGTGTTAGCATTACACTTAATTAGAAGAATAGAAAAGTGGTAGTAAGACAACAGTAATTCAAGGTCATATCTTTGACCTTGATCTCTTGATGGTGATATCTTTGCAGTGAACAGAATGATACACTGCCCAGTCCTGTGCCATCCTCACAGTTGATATGTTTGAGCCCATTGTTGCAGCCATTGTGTCGGTCCATCTGTCTCACCTAGAGCCTTCCTCTTTTACGCTGACCCTCTACTTACTAGGACCTGTCTCTCCTGATAGCGTGTCCAAAGCATATGAGGTGAGATCTCCGCAGCCTGGTTTCTAAGGAATATTCATACTTTTAAGACAGATTTGTTTTTGGCGGCTCCTGGTGCTGTCAGTATTTCACCAACACCATAATTCAAACGCGTCCGTTCTTCTCCATTCTAACTTAGGGTTGTCCAGCTTTCACATGCCAATGAGGTGATTGAAAATGCCACATTTGGATCAGCCGCACTTTAATCAGTACTCAAAGTGACATCCTTGCTTTTTCAACACTTCAGAGAGGTCTTTTGCAATAGATTTGTCTCCTGCAATAAATAGTGGGTTTTGTGACAGCTGTTTCCATGAGCACTAACTGTGGATTCAAATACAGTGAAATCCTTGACACCTGCAATCCTTTCTCCATTTATCGTTCAGTTCTTGGGATTTTAGTTTCCTTTACTTTGGGTTGCAATCCATATTGCAGACTGCATTCCTTGATCATCAGCAAGTGTTTCAAATCCTTCTCACTTTCAGCAAGCACGGTTGTGTCTTTCCCATATCACTGGTGGTTTCCACCAATCCTAATGCTGCGTTATTCTTCATCTAGTCCAGCTTCTCGGGAGATCTGCTCAACATACATATCCAACAAATCTGATAGATGCAATCCTGACGCGCATCTCTCCTGACTTTACACCACCCAGTATTCCTTTGTTTTATTCCAACAACTGCATCTTGGTCCATGTACAGGTTCTGTGTGATGAGCGAGCACAGTGAAGTGCCCTGGAATTCCTGTTGGATTCATTGTTAGCCCTTGTTTGTTAGGATCCACCCAGTCAAATGTCTTTGTGTAGTCTCTGCTTTCAGGCAAGCCATATCTGACAGCAGCAGTGATATCCCTTGTACCATGTTCTCTGCTGACTACCTGACCAATCAACTGAAAGAGGTTCATATTTTTGCCCCTTCCAAAGAAAGGTGATCCAACAGAATGCAGAATCTAACTATATCATTAATATCACACTCAAGTAAATTTTTGCTGAAGATAATTTAAAAACATTGTACTTTTGTAGCATTATGTCTACAGGGTGCTGCCAGAAATTCAAGCCATCTTCAGAAGAGGACAAGGAATGAGAGAGATCCAATTCATAGTGAACTGATAGGGAGTTTCCAAGACCATTACTCATTTGAGGAGAGGAAGCCTCATCTTTCTCTGTGGAGCAGCTGGTGGGTTTGAACCACCAACTTTGTAGTTAGCAACCCACCATCCGTGACTTCTTTGAGGAATAGCAGTGGTTATTTTATTTTAGGAAGTTCCTTTTCTATCACTAAAGCCTGTGTGGAGAAAGGCAAGTTCAACACAAGTATTCTTTCACCTTCTCTACCCTGGACAACACTTGATTGGCTTGAGCTTTTGTTGAAAAAACATTTTATTTGAGACTTTCACACTGCTTTCTGCCAGATAAGATGGATAACACACATTTCTCACTGAAAGGCCACTTTTCCTTTCCTTTAGTTATACCAGGAAACTAACTTGTAATTTTCCTTCCTAGTAGCCTCTTTTAAGGCTTATTGTTTTCCTATCCTTTTGCTTTTATCCTTTATATTTAAAGTTTTTTCCCCACTGTTTATATATGAGTACGTAAAAAGATACATGAGCCATAAGTGTATAACTCAAAATCAAACTTGCTGCCCTTGAGTAGGACTGCCCTTAGGGGTTTCTTTACAGGTGTAGAAAGCCTTTTCCTTCTCCCCGTAAGTATACAGCTTAGTAAGTTACATCAGAGGGAACAGATGGATATAGCTAGCGCTCAGATCAAGAAATAGGACATTATAAGCACCTTAGAGGCTCCCCCTGTCCCTTCTCAGCCACCTCTCTTACAATGAACTGTATATTAATTTTGCCTGCCTTTGAATTTCACAAAAATGAAATTGTATATCATATTTTTTGTGGGCTGACTTACTTCATTCACAATATGTTTGTGAAATATATCTATATTGTTTTATACAGTGATAGTTTTCATTGTATGAATATGCCATAATTTATTTACTCCTTATACTTTTGATGATTATATGTGCTTTTTTCAGTTTTTACTTTATACATAGTAGTACTGGAAATAGTTTATTTTCTTTTGAATTTTTTAAATTTATTTTTTAATCATTTTATTAGGAGCTCATACAACTTGTATCACAATCCATACACACATCAATTGTGTAAAGCACATTTGTACATTCATTGCACTCATTCTCAAAACATTTGCTCTCCACTTAACCTTCTGGCATCAGCTCCTCATTTTTCCCCCTCCCTCCCTGCTCCCCCCTCCCTCATGAGGCCTTGATAATTTATAAATTATTATTTTGTCATATCTTGCCCTGTCCAA